TTTCCAAACCAACTTCATTCTAAGCCAAAGACTAGAAAATATGGTGAAGCATATCTGCCCTTTGGTGTCACCTGCGCAAGTGCAGAGGTAGGTCTCCCCTGCATCGGGAGCACGCACCGGGCTCTCCAAATCACGGACAAATAGTATCCCACATTCTTGATTTTTAGTTCACAAACACTTCTTGTAATGACTAACTACTCCTGACATTTTGGAGATGTTAGCTCTTTATACAGTGAAGTTACAGTGGGATACAAATAATATCAGGCTGATCCTGCCACGATTTGTTCCCCCGGTTCAAATCACGGACAAACAGCATCCAACAGTTGTTTATGTTTTTAAACCCATTTTGCACAGAGAGGCATTTTTTGAAAAATGTATTGATAGCAATGTTGAATATTATTACACAGGGAAAAACAACTACAAGTAAAATAATCACACCGTGAGCTTCTGCCTTCCTAAATGGAGAGACAGTTACTGCGTGTGTAAGTGTGTAAAACCTGCAGATAGTCAGATTAACAGTATTGTGTCTCTATCTGCCATTCTGCAATTCATCTCATGTAAACAATAATGTGGCGCACAGCGTGACGTGAAAAAAGGCACATACCTTTAACACTGCGTGACGAACTCTGTATTCCTCATCCACACGTAAACACAAAAAATCTCCGTTTTCGGTGATTCGAAACGCCGTTTACGTGTGGACGAAACAGTTGCGTTTTCAAAAATACCCCGTGCAGGTGTGGACGTAGCGCAAAACAGTTAGTAGTTTATTTTATTACCTGTAATTTAGGGGGGGGGGGACGACATTTTTCTTGTAAAACAAAGGGGGTCTAGCAAAGTTTTGGAACCACTGCTATACATTTTCTGATTTTAAATTCAGATAAAACTGAGGTTATTGTACTTGGCCCTATAAAATCTTAGTGTCTTACCAGACACTTAATCTAGATGGCATTACCTTGGCCTCCAGTAACACTGTGAGGAACCTTGGAGTCATTTTGACCAGGATATGTCCTTCAATGCACATATTAAACACATATGTAGGACTGCTTTCTTCCATTTGTATAATATTTCTAAAATTAGAAATAGCCTGTCTCAGAGTCACGCTGAAAGATTAGTTCATACATTAATTACTTCTAGCTCGGACTACTGTTATTCATTATTATCAGGATGTCCTAAAAACTCCCTGAAAAGGCTTCAGTTAATCAAAAATGCTGCAGCAAGAGTACTGACAGGGACTAGAATGCATATTTCTCTTCTCTATATTGGTTTCTCTTCATTGGCTTCCTGTTAAATAAAGAATCAGATTGCTGGGGTTATCTTTGTATTACTGTTGAATCTTTATCTAACAATATAAAGTGCCTCAAGGTGACTGTTTTTGTGATTATATTTATATATTTATATATATTCATATTATTATATTGCAATATAATTAAAACTGAATTGAAGTTGCTACATTTAATCTGCTTTTAGTATAATCTGAGGCAAGTTCAGAAATGCCTTTCTTGTCTAGTTTTATCAGCACAGGAGGAGTTGAAGGCTTTCACGGGCTGCTGTTCATGGCCTCTGTCCATGGTACTGAATGAGAGCTGCGGTAAGATGAGTTAGATTTATATAAGCCATGATCACATGCTACAAATATCATTGCTATTGACGGTAAAGAGCTTACACAACACAGTAGTTTGTTTTGGAAAACTACCACATACTCTGACCATCTCACACAAATACACAAACAAAATGCAGCTAGGAGTGGTTGGGAGTGTTTTATTAGCTGAGCTCCTTTGGTTGCTATGATACACGATATCCACAAAAGTAAAGTGTTGCATGAACTCCACTCCACCTGACTGCTGCTTAACTGTTACACCCACAGGGAAACAAAATGCCACTTTAATCATGATCTTCCGCATAATTACTCTGGTAGTTTGGGGATTTAATTTTGCTACAGGCAGTACTAACGTCTCCTCCATTGTTGCTTAGCATTCAATGGTTGGACAGTGTAGTTTTTGTCTTGCCCCTCCTAAACTGTGATTGGACAGCTGGGTTTTCCCAGAAGGTCAAAAATTTTCAACTCTCGGTGACCATAAACATAAAAAAAAAATTAAAACTTTCCCTGCTTCTGAGAAAAAACCAAAACAACACAAAACACACTGTAAACAGACCCTCATTCCTAAAACATCGATTAGTATGCACAAAAAATAGATCCCGTTAAATGCAGTCTTTCCTTCTCATTGGATGTGTTTTTCCTAATTTTGTGAACACACTAATACGTTCAGTTAGCATGTCAGCTTTAGGATTTCTGTCATTGCACATGTTCATATGGCTTCATGAATTCATAAATATCACCATATGTTGTTTTGTTACTTGGAAACAGAGGAAACATTATATTTAATAGCTTACAGCTGCACATGCTCATTTCGTAAATATTAATTGTCATGTCCATGCAGGACACATTAGTTATATAAACAACTGTCCCTGCTGACATCTTTGTAAAGTGCTAATAATCTCTGTGTTGGTGGAAATGAACAGCGCATGTTATATTAAAAATGATACTTGCATGAACATTGCTGGAGCAGGGTAATAAAATGTTTAAAGATCAACTGTAATGTTTTTGTTTTTTCTATTTTTGTTGGATTTGTGGCAAATCAGAGAAACTTCCCTACACTCGAAGGCTGAGATTTACATACACTCTTTGTTTTCCTTCTGTTGTTATTATTAAAATATGGAAATAAACATGGTATCTGCAAAGGTCTGTCTCTGCAATTTGCATGTATTAATGGTTTTCCTTTATGACTGGAATCAGCTAATTAGTATGTATAAAAGCCTCACTCTAGATCACTGCACAATTCCTTCAGAGAGCAGATTAATTTTGCTTAATGACACTGTGCATTTTCCCTGCTCTGAAAAGCCCGGCTCTCAGAAAGTGATATGATAATGGAAAATGGATGGAAGAGGCCGACCTGATTCACGGAGATGAAAGATTTCTCTGCAGCTAATTAGCTGCTAATTATACCGGGGCACTTCAGCAGCGACTGGCTGAGTAATGACATACTACTACAGATTAATTTTAGGTGTTCTCTGTGTGTGTGTGTGTGTGTGTGTGTGTGTGTGTGTGTGTGTGTGTGTAGGTGTGTGTGTGTGTGTGTGTGTAGGTGTTGCTTTCCATTTACCCTCCAGCTCCAAAAAGTTGGCACAGAGCCAGCGGCGAGCAGCCATGCAGTCGTGGAGGTCGTTGAGGGTGAAGAGGTTGGA